CAAAGAGTAAGATTGTCCCTGAGAAGTTGCATGATGAGGGTAGAATCTTTGTAACTCTCCTCGGACAAGGTGTCTAGTTCCGCGATCGCGTCGTCAAAGGCTGCCTTCGCGAGACGGCATGCTCTGTCGGGGCTATTGAGGATCTCATAATAGAACACGGAGAAGTTGAGCGCCAATCCTAAGCGGATGGGATGAGTCGGTGGTAAGTCTGTCATAGCGGTGTCGCTCGCTGCTTTGTAAGCAACCAGAGAGTTTTCTGCAGCTTCCTTCCTATCGTTGCCGACGGCGAACTCAGCAAGATAGCGGTGGTAATCACCTTTCCTATAATCACAAATCAAAATTTGAACTTGGTCAATGAACCTTAACGAGAAGCCATAGGAGATGATCATATCTTCTTATTTGTTACGGTTATAACATTCAGTGTATTGGCCCATTGTACCTAACAAGAGTTTAATTTTTCCTGTAATTTTTCTATACATGTGTAAAATATAAATTTACATAAATGTATATTACGCTAATCTACAATTAAAATTTGACACTAGAATGATAGAATATAGAGTATAATTTCTTAGAAAATTATGACTTCATAAAAAGTGTCTCAGCCTCAATATATTAAGAATTTCTCTTGCTAGACTTTCATTTGTGTCTGGCATACGTATAAGGTATTAACATTCATTGTAACTTTAAATCTAATGAGTTGCGATATAAATGTACGTAAAAACATACTGATCACTTGTGCAAATCACATGTATACAAGAATGGTGAAATTCTCGAGCTAATTTCAAATAATAAAATGAAAGAGAACTTTCAAGAGAATATTGCGCAAATATTTCTTGTTATTAGTGCAGCAAAATCGAATCGTCAGCTCATTTGTAAATCGTATCGAGTCATAACTTAATTATCAAAATAGGCAATTGATAAAACCTCAAAAATCAGTGACCGAAACGAAACGTTCTTCCGTATTGCTTGTTAGCTCTTAATTTAAACTACCTCGTTCTCCAGAAGCTTGTAACTCTTTCCTTGATTTTACAAACTTATAATTTTGCAATTTCCAACTTTAAATATATAAAGTAATTCAGGTATTCCAGTCCCTTTTTACTTAATACGTTCTATCTATCTTTTCTTCCATTCAATTTGAAATTTTCTTGGAATTTTATTTAGAAAGCATGAGAAATGTCAAGTATTTCAATACATCTTGGGAAAAATATTAGATAGAATATTCTTCTATAAGAGAGCCTTTCTGCAAAGAGAAAAATAGAGTTGCTAGTCGCAGGCCGTAAGTTTTTTTCTTACATTTTGTAATAGAAGACTTTCGACTCGCCAGTAGACGCGCACGGGAGCAGGTGTTTGACCAAAACTCCAAGAATATCGGCACAGATGTCTTTCAGCTCCTTTTCGACCTGAGATCGGTACTGACGGATCATCTCCAGCTTTCTCTCGGCGCCTTTGTTCTCCTCCTTTTGTTCAATACTAGAAATTATTCTCCATGACGCCCTTCTCGCGCCGATAACATTTTTGTAGGCGACAGAAAGGAGGTTCCTCTCCTCGACGGTCAGCTCCGTATCCAGCGAGGCGACCTTCTTCATCGCCTCGACCATTTCTGCAAAATCACCGCCGGCGAGAGCATCGCCGTTGACGAAGGTGTCATTAAATCCAGAATCTTCAGAATTCTCAATGATGATAAACCGATAAGACAAACAATTAAAATGGATAAGATGAAATATTTAAATATGGATGTTTCGTAAATGATTTTTTTTTCTTTTTTTTTAAAGAGTTTTTTAAATGTCAAAATTTCGCCAGCGAGATAAAGTGACAAAAGTTTAGACGAAAGAGAGTACGCTCGATGTTTTGATTGAGGTATCGAACTTACCGAGGTATATTACATGCAATCATGGCAAAGTAATGAATCGGAAATGATCTATTGATTATTAATACGTGGTTACCCTGTGTGCGGATATATTATTAGTTTCATCTGAGATGTTAGAGAGGCTCTGCGCGAGGTAGACTGGCGCACTAACATACATGTATTAACCTGCTGCCCCTTGAACTTTGCGAGGAAGTTGGTTAGTATTATGTATTTATCATCTATAGATATACAATGTTTGAGAATAATGATATGAGGTTTAGATACACGTGCTTCGTCTGCATCTTATTGCTTGTGAAAACAAATCTATTTAATGGCACATCTTTCATACATTATGATTTGTCGTTGAAATATTAATCGGATATTAATCGCCGATACGCTAATACATTGTTGCATCCTACATTTAGGCGACATTAAAAATCTGTAGTTCTGCGATAGGATCGATAGCTGGCTGTAAAAGTTGTTACGGGGGCGTGCAATAAGCGAGAAACTGATTAAAGACGATAGCGGATACGACATTTTGCTTCCGGAATACTATCTTCGAAATAAGTATAATTCCAAGCCTGAACCTTACTTATTGAAAAAAGATTAACACAACGAATGATTGCTCGCTATAATGATTAATGATCATTACTGAAGTACCATGAACTCTCATGAAAAAAGAACTCATCGACCATTCGGCATAGAAATAATTTGAATCATAGAGAAAATTAATGTTAATCCTCTGTTATTATTCGGTTAAAGCAGCCAACAGAGTTCTCGTTGACATTTGTGAGAGGAGATCAGGCTCAAGTTCATGATGGTTCCGGCAGCAAGAATTATTATGAACACGGTATACCCGGTGACGGAGGTGTAGGATAGCTAGTACAGATCAATACTTTCCTTCTGCTATGGCCCCCTCTTTTCCCCCACTCTGTCTGCACATCTCACCCCTTCCCGTTCTCACCCTCCCCGGGTAATCTCGCCCATCGTCCTTTTCTCCCCCTCCTTTCCCCTTTCCCTCACATGTCTTGCTCTCGCACAACCCTCAAATTTGCCCATCGCCCTTCCTTCTCTTCATCCCGGGAAAGTCGCAACAGCTCCTCCTCTCCCTTCTATCCTGTCATTCTTCACGCTTAGCGGCCGTTTCAACCGGGGATCTTCTATATGCCAGAGTATTTCCACCCTTTAATATGCCTGTGTCGATTAACGTGTTCACGCGGCGACGAAAACGATGAAATTATGAAAAAGCAACTTCACATCAGAATGAATGAAAACACGTTACTTCCTTTGTCTGCGTCATTGCTCCCCGTTCCTTTCTTCAATTTCAGGCGTATAGAATATAAAATGTAATTGTAAAAGTAAATGTTAGTTTCGTAGAACGAAATGTATGCAATGAGTTCAGGTATAACTTAGATTATATGGTACGTATGGAGAAAGAATTTATTAGAACGATTTTCTTTAGCGAGACTTTTAACAAAAAAAAAAATGTTGCAATGCTCCACGAACAGAGGCACATTCGGACACGTTTTGTCTCTAAAGCGAAACTAGTTGGCAAGGAATAAATGATCGCAGGAAATTTGCATGAAGATACATCGCATTTCCGCAAAATGTCAAACGCATGTACTTGATTTGCAGGCTTGATAACATCCCACGAGACAAAGCGGTGCTGCGCAAAATATATCTAGGGAGAAATGCAAAACGAGAGAGGTTTATAAAACGAAGAGATTTGACGGTCCCCCTACTACTGCACGAACGTGACCCCACTATGAGTTGCTTTCGCCAGAAGCAGCGATGTAAAAATTTCTATAACCGAAATTACTAACGGGCGTGTACTGCGTAATAAGAAATGATATGCATGAGAGCGTATTGTAGGAAAAGAGAGCTTGTATGTACGTGAGGAAATGAGAGGCAATTTTCCATAGGTGTTATCCTCGAACCTACAGATCGGTCAGTCAATCGACCAAATGATTTCTCTCTGCTTTCAAGGCCAAATGCCACGAGCAGAGCACGCGTTACTACGTGTCTAAGGAGTAACCCGGCAGCGATTGGTAAGTATCGTGCCGTGTCTATGCGTCATACACGTCGGTGAAGAACCGACTTGCTGGTTATCTGCCGAGGAACTCCGTAAAGTAACGAACTCAGCACGCCTAGCAACGCTTCGTGTTAGCTACTTTGTTTCGACGAAATGATATAACCCAAAAGTAAAACACTTTTTTACGTATTCTCAACCAATCCCCTCGAAAGGGCTCTGGATCGTTCGCGTTAAGTTGACAGGCTCCGATGAACTTGTAAGAAACCTGACAGAGAATCTAAGAGCAAACCTACCCTTTAATAAAAAAACACCGGTTACGAACCGGCGATCTGGTCAACACCGTGTGTGGATTAATCATATTTGACGTTTCATGAGGTTTTTGACAGATCCAATGAGACACGATCCCAGTTCGAGGTTCTCGGTTCTCAGAGGAGGCTCGTTACATATCCGATGAAATCACACGGCAAGCACGTCACGAGGGCGGTGCTACCTCCTTTCTCTTTGTAGCAGTGCTTTGTGGTCGATTTCGTGGATTTCATTTTGGCGCAGGCCGGGTCCTTTTCCCGGAAAATATGTACTTACCGTCGTAGCGCTCCGCTTGCTCAGCCAATTTCGCTTTATAAACGTTGTCCTCCCGTTCCGACATCTTGGATGCTTGTGGATTTCACGGGTAGACGAAAGGTTTCAGGGAAATCGCACCAAATACTCGTTTCACCGAAATACGTACACCTTGTCGTACAGCCACTCGCAAGCTCACTGACCAAGATGGCGGCGCCCGCCAACAATCGAAAGCAGTTCCCACTTCGCGCAGCCTCTGCAGACGCTCCACTCGCCATGCGCTCTCGGCGTGTATTACTACGCGTGACGTCATACGGTTACCGACGTCGCGCGCATGTCGGTTAAATTCACCGAATATCCGGTAAAACTGTAGAAACGAAAATATCGGCGTATCTATCAGCCTGTTCTCTTCTTAATTGCGATAAACAATGAATTCTTAGTATATATTTCATTGATACGTCACAAAATCGATGACACTTCGTTTTATCGGAATGACGGAACTAGATGAGAGAAACGCGGAACGAAAGAAAAATCCTTTAACAAATAACTCGTCATTTTCGATCAAACATTTTGTTGGATTTTGATTTAAAGTAATTTTAGTAACAAGCTATTCTCACGCTTTGTAAAAATTGATATTTCTTTTTTTTTTTTTTTACGAATGTCACATGGATATTAATGATTTGGCGCGTATATAATAAAAAGTAAAACGACGCAGGCAATATTCCGTTGTAGCGCGCGAGATATCAAATGATTTTTAACAACGATAGGTAAATGGACCAATCACTGGATAATAATGAAATATATTCAATGATAGGTATTACCCGTTCAAGATCGTTTTTAATTTGTTACAATAAATCAATACAATTTGTTTGATGGAACAAAAGACTACAGTTATTTATCGTATAAATAATTGCACCATTTGTGCGGCCAACGGATGTTACGTAGGAGATGCCAAAAGGCAATTATGTGAATGCTACGAAGATATTTTTTCGATTTTTGTAGCGAAGCATTTTGTATTTATCGTTCCACACGAATAGCTAATGTACAAGCACTACATAATTCAAACATTTGTTCTATCCGTCTTATCATATTTTCTTTAAATTATATATTTTTATAGTTAATTTTTATTTATATGTATACAGATATATCCGATTATAATCAACTATTAAAATTATAATACAGCCAAATACTTAATTGTAACAATCATTGTAGACATTGGTTGCAAGCTAGATGTTCCGTTTAATACAGTCCGATACAGACTGAAATATATAGTTGTTAATATACAAATACTATGAACGGAACAACTGTATGATGTGCTCATAAGAGGGATATACAATGGGTTTTATTAATTATTAATTATTATATGTACATACGAGCATACATACATACATACATACATACATACAACAACAAACAAACAAACATACATACATACATACGTACGCATCATTCGCGCAGTTTGTACCTGTGTATGGATGTGTGCGTGTCTACATACTGTAGCTTGGAAAAAGGATCTCGGCTTTAATGAGTGTTAATGCTCTGAGTTGAAGCGTTCCTTTAAAAAAAAGAATGAGAGAGAAAAAAAAAGAACAACTTACTACAACTTATGAGCCTTTTGGTGTGATTTTGTATTCTCCTTACACTCTCCCGTAATAATATTATGTTTTGTAACATTAGCTCGACGGAGTGTACGGTAATTAGGCTGGTTAGGTAACCAGACAATATTTTGTGGAACATTCAAGTCTACGTCTGCATGAAAAAATGCAGAAATTTGGAAGCATACCCATTTATACTACATATCTGCTTCTTCTTTCTTATATCCGCCGCATGTCGAGTAGTATAAATACGGCTTTCGCACGGAATCACCAAGATGAAATCTCAACGTACTCTCTCGTTGTTACGAACACTTTATCCGCAGGAACATTTCTTTTGTAGCGGTTACAGATTGTCGTATCAACGTAAACGAATGCCGCCTCTTATCCAATTTTTGTGCAAAGGTTAAGACGTGGCAGTCGAATGAACAGTCTGGCCGCATCACACATGTAAATAACCAATATTGTAAAAATGTGTTCACCTACTGTAAATAATTCAGTAAGGCTTTAGTTACATTCAACGCGATTATTCCTTATGATTTTCTTTTCAATTCAATTTTTTTTTAAATATCTTCAACATCGCGTCAAGCATCAAAAATACATTTTACAATCTATGTAAGTACTTTCCGCGATGAATACATGATAATCCTGTATCAGAAAGTTGTAGGAATTTTCCAAAATTGCTGTTATGATCGATTTCTTGGAACTTACAAAATTCAGTTTCATTTCTAGAAAAAGGAGAGATTTAAATATATCTAAATTTGTTTAAAACAAATTATGAATACTGCAATTGTATTAAGTGGGTTTTCGTATTCAAACTTAAACTCCCAGTAACTATGGTTTTAATTTCTAATATATTAATGTTCTCGTAATAAAAATTATCAATCTTATTGCTATATCAGTTATGAACTGAATTAACAAAATTTTCGCAAATTATTTGCTTCATCATATCTGGATTTTTTGTAAATGTATTATGATACATTTAGCTTAGCATTGAAACCTAATAACAAATACAGAAAATTTTTATATCTATACAAACATTGTATCCAAAGCATTAATTGGGCCATGTGGATTAAATATGATAATGTTCTTGATTGTTTAGAAAAGTGGACAAAAGAGGGATGCAACAGTAATATAACAGAGAGAAGGATGTATAGGAAAATCGAGATAATGACATACTAAAAAAAATGCTCGTTTCATGTGTAACAATGCCAACTTCGACCAGTCCATTGGAAGAAATAAGACAAACCATGTCTCTTAACAGCCCTCTTATCATGTCAGCATTTTTTTTTTTTGTAGAAGCAGTGATTTCTAAAATTGGCTATTTTCACTTAAAACAAATCCAAACATTTCTGCATTGTATATTGGCGGTCACAATATTGACATAATTATGTAGTAAGCTAAAATATGTTTGGACATCGTGACCAATCACCTTTACTTTTACACTCCCAATATTCACCACCATATACGTAACACAGACTGTCCGTGTATGGATTCTGCTCTTTCTTAAACCATAAAGGTTCGTAAGTTTCATACGGTAAACCTAATATAAATTAAATCTCCAATTATAAAAATATTCCAAAATATTAAACGACTTTTCCTTAAATTACCTTAAAAAATATTTTTTAATAATACCTTGAGTGGCAGCTTTTTCAGCTTCGTGTTCCCGTGCACGCCGAGCAGCTCTTTGTTTTTCCTCTAATCGAAGTTTTTCTGCATTCGCTTTGTCCCATTCACCACTTTCCATTAACTTTTGATCAGGCCTAAATCTAGAATCTGTAGGAGCTATACCTTCCTCAGGCTCGTTCAATTGACATGCTAATTCCGTGAAATTGTAATACTTCTCGCTATCTTCACTGTAGAAATGGATAGAATATAATGAATTTTTTCCTTTAACATAAAATGTGCTTCAATTAAATACTTACGATGGCATACGGCGCTTCCAAGCGAGTATGTAAGGCCCTGTTTTATATACTGGATTGTCTGGCGTGCCAGACGTACTGATAACAGGAGCAATCTCTATCTTTGAATCCCATGTACCTTGTACTACCCACTTAACTTCATTGTTTGAATTCATGACTACTCCTTTTACTTTACGCTGACTATCTCTTGAAAAGTATGAATAGGGCGTATATTTCAAATGGCACTTGATACCTTGTTTATGGTTCACAATATCTGTATCACCACTTTGATCAACCCATAATTTTCCTACTATAATATTGTGTACAGTAGTAGTAACTTTTCGCCACGTGTAGTGATGTGTACCACCTTCCATTTCAAGGTGAGCAGTTCCTAATGGTATTACCTATTGAGTCATAATAGGATTAAATATTGCATGTTTGTTTACAATATTGCAAAAGGTTGTTTTACGAATGACTTATAAAGCCTACCTGAAGGTATTTCCCACGGAATTTAGATGCCATGGTAAATTCTTGCCAACAACGCCATTTTCGCCCCTCACAATGTTGCGCTAACATTGGAGGATGATGAGATACTTGTTCTGAAATCGCTCGCCATCCTAAATCATCCACGCGATCACATTCATACGTTTCACCTAATAAAGGATTAAAAGGCTTGCCAGTTCTGGAAGCAGTTGTGGAATAACTAGATATAGTAAATGCAGCAACATAAGCCATTTGTTCATAGCCATCTGTACATTCTGCTGCTCTGTGAAAAATCAAAATGAACATTTTTTTTCTTTTTTTTATTTAACAATTTAATAAAAACTGAGATAAAATATACCTGTCAAGAATATCTGCATATTCATAATCTTCTGTAAGCCGTTGAAGCATACTAAGCGGCTCAGAAAAATTGACAGGCATTGGAATTTTTGACAAATCTTTGCCAATGCAATTTTTCATAATACTCCATAAATTTAATGGATAATTTGGTTTGTCAGGTACCCTAGTTCTCCGTTTTCGTTTAAAACCTGTTACCCCGGTGCTGCCACTGCTGCCATTATTAGATTGCCAATTTGTCTAATACAAAAAAGATTAGATAAAAAAACAACGGTAAGAGATTAGATAAAAAACAAACGATGTAGTTAGAGCTTGATAATTACAATTTACTTACATTGTCCAGATTGTCAGTATTTGCAGCAGTGGTAGGAGTTACTACTGTAGAATCGGTCACAATACGAAAGGAGTTTGTGGTAGCTGTATCTGACAAAGGTAAAGGCGTTTGATCACCTTCTGAACTAGAGCCATCGTCACTACCTTGAGAATCAGTTCGATCTCTTGAATTATTTGCTGGGACACCGGGTATACTTAAAGTAAAAGTATCAGATTCTTGTGCATCATAAAACTCAGCATTATCTTCTTCGTCCTCCGATGGGGAAGTTGTGACTGTTGTATCTACAATGACAACCAAAATTTTGCTTAGTTGCACTGGACGAGTAATTAAATAAGTAACAGTAAATATATATATTCAAAGCTAAATGAGATTTAGTTGATCAATAAAACAGTTATTCAATTACAATTTTACAGCAAACTTTATAATTGAAAATGAAATGAAACCTTCATTTATCATGACTCATATTCCTTGTTAAGATTAGAGATAAAACGCGAATACATGAACACAAAATACAGTAAAAGCTATAATTACGATTACGCAATGAAACACGTATTTCGCGCCAACGAAAAATATAACACAAAGAATGAGAAATTTGTTGAACCTATATAACCGCACATGCCACTGCTCAAATTTATTTCACTTTACTTTTCTGCTTTGAAATAATCCGTCACCCCCTCCCCTGTTCTTATTACTTGGATCACTCCCTCTCCTAACCGATTGAATCGTGGTATAACAACTACTTTTGTCATTAAGTTGTACCGTCCTCTACCCCCTCCAATTACGGTCCACACCTGCAGTATTGGTTAAAATAACGAATAATGTTTCACTAAAGATGCTCGTACACTGTGACTGTTTTTTTTTTTACAGCCAACTACAATGTCGTTCATTAGGTTATGCTACATTCGACGACAGATTTGGCGCTCTCATGTATTTCGGCCCTTGCTATAAATTTGATTGAAGCTGCGGACCGTTATAAACCCGCTGGTGACAAACTTCTCCCCTTCACCCTGTTTAATCAGTTTAGCATCTTTCCACTTATCAGCATCAAGCACAATCGCCGAGAATTTCGACGCTCGATTCAGTTTTATCACATCGAATTTAATGGTAGAGTTGCGAAAGGGAACTGTCAAAAAAAATATTCACACGAAACGGAAATTTGCAAGGCCATCTGAGTCTGATTAAGCACTAAACTTGGGAGAAATGAAAGCACACCCGTGCATGTGTGTATATATATATGTATGTATATGATATATATGTATATATAAGCCCTATATACATTACTGTAATATGCCATACAATATAGAATATATTGCACGTCATGCATGCATAGACTTTAAACTACACAAGTAGTCGCCACACCATTCAAATCAAGTTTCACAACTGCCATCTGGTTAAGAAACGACAAGGCATGCAAAGGCGCGAAAACTCAAATTGTACTATACAGTAAAGCATATCAACAAGCAGTGTACAAAGTGGGGCAAAATTATGCGGCTGTGCAGTATCACCTGATGAATACAGCATCCCTCGCCCGGCAGACATACACATATGTATTTAGCATACATTTCTATTACAGTCAGTTACAGAGTTAAAAGGCCTATAGCACAATTAGAGTATTGTGTTGCAAAGTACATAAAGGTGAAAAGCTCGGCACAGTGTGAATAATGAGTGAACACTCGACTCTGTCTTTCTTAGCATACGTCATACACAGCAATTACTCATAAACATAACAGTAGCATCAAAATTAATCACAGCATTACCAATTGCATTAATATAAAAAGAAGAATTATTACGCGAAGCTCTGTGTCCCCCTGCTGTAACTGCCGTGGGTAAGGCATGTTGTGCAGCCTCTTCCAAGTGAGAGTGCTGCCTGGCCAATTGCTCAACCATTTTTTCTATTCTTACTTTCTGGTCGCGCTCATGTTGCAACATTTTCTTCCATTTCGGTTCTTGCTGCTCTGCTAATTGCAAATATTCATTACTTGCCTGAAATCAGAATTAGGTCTAGTAAGTATACACGTACATCTATGAAAGTCAGTATTTTTACAATATGTTATTATATAACTTTACAAATTGAATAGAAATAAAAATGAATATCTGGCTGTGAGTTGTGAAAAATTGCTTAATCTATAAAAAGGGAATGTTTAGAATTAATGATAAAACAAGATAGTTGTGCAGCGTGTGAACTAATTTCCAACATCGTTGGCCACAAATTTTCATTTGTATATTAGTCTTAACGATGGCCTTTCAACTTACATTAACCATAGCACCGGCAGCGATGCGAAAGAGCGTGGCTCGTTCACTGACTGTCTTTATTTTTGCGACTAACTCCGGCGATGGTGGCTCCAATGCTTCGAGCTCGTTTAAAACTCGCTGAAGCATAGTCCCTTTTTTCATTAGTAAATCGTTACAAGCCTGTAAGTTTTCTAAACGCTGTGATAAATCCTTCACAGTGACCTGCTCTGGCTTTTGACTGTCGTTATCCTGAAACTCTTCCTCCTCTTCTTCTGAAACAAATTTTACTTTACATAACGTAACTGCTTCAATGTTTCCTACAAACGATTTAATTCTTATTTATAATTCATATTTTATTGGAGACAAGAAGTCTTCCATTGTCTACAATACTCTAACAAATATATAGATAATGTAGCTGATTCAATATCACTTTTTGCTTAAAATTGCTGAGTCAAAATTCACTTGAATCACAGATCGAAGATAATGCAGACAGACAAACACGTTCATGAGAATGAGTATATAAATATTCGTGTGCATAATAAAGATCGATAATAAAAGAAAACATGTAATAAATATAGATCAAAACGTTTTTTTTTTTTTTCGTCTTGTTTTGTTTGCTATTCCGACTTCCTTACGCGTTATCTTTTATTGATATGCTTCATTTATGTACAGAAAATGAAGTATTTAAGAAGACAAAATTGTGAAATACAATGAGTTTGAATATTTCGCTGATAACGATGATAATATTTCCAGCGTTGAAACCAACTGGTACGCTCTTAAAATTGTTGTAAACTTCTACGTTACTGGTACGCTGAGAATACTTATAGAAATTTATATTTTTATAGACACAACTAAAAAAAGTTGAAGTTTAATAAATTCATATCATCTATTCAGCACTATGATGAACGTTTGTGCATTTTATGCATTTTGGATTTTTAAATTTTCCTCTAATGTCGCAAGTACGACATTTTTTACGGAAAATGTTTGATATTTAAAAAAATATATATATATAAAATCTGATTCTATATTAGAATCGAGATTATTGAATAACTTTATCTCGTGTCTCGTTAAATCATCATTCATCTTCGTGAAGAATTGTAACGATCTGTCAATTGTGTAAATGTTAGCAAAAGTTACTATAGACAATTGCCTTTAATGCTATTTTATACGGCTCACGAACTGTTAATAAATTCATTGATTCTTTAGATAGCAATTGATTCCTGCTCGGAATCAGTGAGGGAAAGAATCAGTCTCAGATGATGTTCAATCATCATCGAATACCATCCATTGAAGACATTATATACCGTCTTACTTACTAACTCGGTTATGTATATTATTAAATTATTAGCATGATTTACGATTAACTAACACCGTCTGCAAATCTAATATTACAAGAGCCACCTACTGCGCAATCAGTCTGATAAATACGACGATTTCGTCGGCTCTGAACGAAAATGAAAGATCCAATCCTCTTCTTCGAATCTCTTCTCTTCGTCAAATTTTTTGGAGGAACCTAATACACAAGTGATGCTAATGGAGATGAACCAGCAGCCCCTCCAACGAGACTCGACTGTCATGGTTATATTGAATGATTATGCAATGAACAAGGATTGACGATTAATTCTTTCTTTCGTTGACGAACGTGTGTGATAGAAACTGGATAAATCGCTGGTTATCTGATACAAACCAGATTCCATCGCCTGGATGGCCTTGGCCTTCGCCAACTCGAGGGCCGTGACCCATTGCTGACGTTCTACCTCTGTCGCTGCCTTGATATGGAAGGTTTGCGTGCCACCGTTGCTCACAACGAACGTGCAAGCGTCCACGGTGTGTATTAAGGCCCCGTGCAAGGATATCGTGCCGCGGCACGTGTGCGACATCTCCGCGGGATTTCTAAACAGAGAAAAGAAATAACGACAGTTCCGCGGACATATTCTTCAATCGATTGGCAACCGAATGGCACAGAGAAAGACAGACGTGAGTTTGCGAAGTCAATTCGCTTGCCGCGTCTAATGTTAAGCCTGAGGTTTATCCAAGCCAAAAATAAGTTTACTTCTGGTTCGCCCAGAGATGATTATACACGCGCACGAGATAATACATGTTACCGTGAAAGCAATTAATTACCCCGACTCTTCCTCCCCATTTTCTATTTATTTCAGACAGCCTGATCCCTTTGGTAATTTACCAAATAACATTACTAGCAATCTTAGAGAGTACAGTTAATCATTAAGGACTATCGTGTCAAATGTCTGCGATGGGTTTTCACTCGCGATAATCTTCAAGGGATGATGATATGAAAATTCCTGCTACAGATCTAGAACAACTTATCCGTCGAACAACCGCAAATGCAGACTACAGTAACTCTATGTAACCGTAAGAGATTTTTTTTT